CCCCCTCCCCCTCCCCCTCCCCAAATAGGATCAGCAGGCATTTTCCATTTGAAAACATAAATGAAGTTTAAGAAACAGAAAGCAATCACAGGTATTCTTGAGCATACCTATGTAATTACCCAGATGATTAACATTTTATGGGCTATGGACACCAATATCCAGCCCCCCCAAATAGGCTCAGGCATTTTCCATTTGGGAAGCGTAAATTAAGTTTCATAAAAAGGAAGAAATCAGCGAAATCGCAGGTATTCTTGAGCATAGTACGTAAATAATTACCCACCCAGAACCATGGAGCCGACTCGTGCCTGAATACTCATGCACTTGGCAAGGTAGACAAACTGGTGAAGGAAAATAGCGTACATCCAGGTCACGATCCCGTTGGAAAGTGCAAGGGTGAAACCCACCCACTTAGACTCCTCCTTGGCAGGATCCAAATAATTTACCTGTACAATCAAAACAACAAATAGATCACCCTGGGTGTTAATTAGGGGTGCCACTGGACTTATCGTAAAGCAAGGAAAAGAGAGAGTTCTCACTCAGTTAAAGGTTTGATTAAGGTCTGTTGCGGCGGGCGGGCTAGCATAGTCTGCAGAGTCTGCAGAGCCGTCAATCTCATCCCCTGTTTTTGTCCATTCAACTCCATTCATTTATGACAACTGTATGGAATGAAATCTGTGAAAATTTTGTATGCCTCTGGCACCTGAGATCAGTACGTTCTCCCACTCGTGACGAGTGCAGATTGCCCAAACAACTGCTTTGAAATTCCTGCTTGGCAAGCGTGCGAGCTCAGATGGCTAGAGCCCAGCGTCGCAAGCAGGAGGTTGTGGGTTCAATTCCGGTTCTCCCTCACCTCTTCTCCGCACCCTCTTTTGGTGTTAGTACATTAATGCCTCCCAGTCTCGCACAGTACTTAGTACATTAATGCCTCCCAGTCTAGCACAGTACTTAGTACATTAATGCCTCCCAGTCTAGCACAGTACTTAGTACATTAATGCCTCCCAGTCTAGCACAGTACTTGCCCTCGAATCTAGCACAGTAGAGCCTTGGGGGGAAGGGTTCAGGGGGCACTGCCCAATGGGGTATTGTCAAGGAGAGAACTCCGCAGTCTAGAAACTGACAAGTCTGTCATTCTTCCTGGGGAAAAAAAAAAAAAAAAAGCATGGCCGCTGCTCAGTGAAAAAAAAAAAAAAAAAAAAAAAAACAAGGGCAAGGGGGAGGGGGGAAAAAAGAAGAAGAAGAAAACAAACAAGGGCAAGGGGGAGGGGTGCTGAACAATGCGCTGCAGGCCTCATTAAACTATGTCCATTGTCTGTGCTCATTGTTTGATTCCGAAAATCTACAGCTGTCATCAGGAGTTTCGTTTTCCCCGCAGATCCCCCCCAAAAAAGAAGAAGGAAAAAGACAAGGGCAAGGGGGAGGGGTGCTGAACAATGTGCTGCAGGCCTCATTAAACTATGTCGTCGTTTGATTCCAAAAATCTACAATTGTCATCAGGAGTTGGTTTTCCCAGCAGATCATGGCCACAAGATCGGGGTAACTTCAGTAGAGTCACAAAAACGAGTTATAATTGCACTATGGGGCAAGATACAGTTTGCAACTGCAATTCGGGCACCCTACCTGCAATTTGAAACTGTATCTTGGCCCGTAGTGCAATTATCACTCATTTTTGTGATTCGGCGTAAAACAAACTCAAGAGGGATGGGTTCAGATTCTTCAGAATCCCCATCGACATAGGCCGAGGTCGTCTGACTCACTTTTGGTCCAAGTCAAGGTTCCGGTCGGGGGTCAAAAGTCACATCTCTACCGTCTTCACCCGAATACAACGCCCAGTCATTATCGCTGTACCTAGACTGAAACTTGTGCCAAATATGGCTATAATACCGGGCCTTCTATTCGGGTGAAGACGGTAGTCTTAGAAGGGTCTGAGAAAGGTCCTGGAGTCAAAGGGGATAGTCTCCACGGTCAAAAGAGCAACCTGATCCCCCCCTATGTGAGACAGTCGACTCTTGTAAAATCAACAGTTAGGCTAGGAGAAGGAGACTAAGTGTCAGAGATTTCACAGCAGTCAACTGCACCCATAGATCAGATGCACAATCAAAGGCTGCCTTGTTGCAGAAGATTCCAGGGTCTACTGGGTCCAGGCACACTGAGCCCGACAGCAAATCTGGGCCGCTGAGGTTGAGAAATCTCCACCGTCGAAGGAGACGAGATGAGGCAGGCCAAGGCCAGTCAATGCTACCAAATAGTGGCCAGCCCAGCGGCTCATTCCTTCTGTCTCACGATGCTACAGTGCACGGGCCACAGTGCGCATTTTGCAGTGCACGGCTACAGGGGTTTGTGGCTATAGTGACGCGCTACAGCAAGTGTGTAGCAGTACCCCTGCGGCCCGGCAGTGAGGCCGGACCAGTCTCAGACCGTCAGCCTGACCCTGGTCCGGTACCAGGTTATTCCGGACCTGGACCTAGGCCGATATATCACTTCGGCCTAGGCCCAGGTCGGCGGGTTTTGGTTCAGTTCATTCTTTGGCTGTTCGTTCATTCATTCGGTCAGATTGGACCATCACTCTCTTCTCGTGTATGTCCATCTCTCTCTCTCTCTCTCTCTCTCTCTCTCTCTCTCTCTCTCTCTCTCTCTCTCTCTCTCTCTCTCTCTCTCTCTCTCTCTCTCTCTCT